TATCAATCAATCTATCATCTATTTATCATCTATCTATCTATCTATCTATCTATCTATGTATGTATCATCTATCTTTCTTCATCGAGACAGGGTCTCCCTTCAGCCCCAGCTAGCCTGGAAGGAGACAGGGTCTCCCAGCTGGCCTCAATCTCACAGAGATCCACCTATTGGGACTAAAGGCCTGAGCTACCACACCCAACTTGCAACTTACTTTAAAGATGACAAAACTCAAGCTTAAAGGTAACTGCTCAGCACAAATACAGATGCATAAATAGCAGGGCAATGCAAATGTTCTTTGAGCTATATTCTATTTCATTTAGAATCACTTTACAGATGCCTTAAACACAATCTCACAGAGATCCACCTATTGGGACTAAAGGCCTGAGCTACCACACCCAACTTGCAACTTACTTTAAAGATGACAAAACTCAAGCTTAAAGGTAACTGCTCAGCACAAATACAGATGCATAAATAGCAGGGCAATGCAAATGTTCTTTGAGCTATATTCTATTTCATTTAGAATCACTTTACAGATGCCTTAAACACTGAGGCACATGGAAGTGACACTAAAGATTAACTATGACAGCACTAAGAGGCACCAACTCAAAACACTATCTAGAGTGATCAAAAATCAGGGCACAACTTCAAAGAGTGCGCTTTTTCTACTCAAAGGCTTTAAAATTTCAATTAACTATATTTCTAAAAAATTACCTTTTAAAAAAAACAACTATGAGTCAGACTGGGAAAATCAAAAAAGATGTACAGTTAATATTACTATAACCCACCAACAGGAAGAAAAAAATCTATATAATGAATAACATATTTGAGGTTTACTTCATAAAGTTACATTCTCAGAGCCAAAGCCCAAATGCATACCAAGTAACTCTGCTAACCACCCACCTAGGCCAGCATGTCCCTGGCCTTCGTCCAAGTTCCCTTCTCTCAAGCCTATGGAGGATACCCACTCTGTAAAATTCTTTTCCACTGCCTCAAAACATGGCCCAGGAAACCTTGTATACACTTCAAGAAAATATAGTCTTCAAGAACTGTCGTTTACACGAGGTAGGTTTGTCACCCTTTTGAAATATCAACTGATGACTGTGTGCTTCTAGCCCATAGGAAACAAAGTTTCCACTCCACTGACTAGTAGAGTCACAGTTCCATCTGACAAAATCAGTACCAGTGTCCCTAATACCAAGTGTGCAAGTAGACGGGAAGGTGTATTCTCTAAGTCTGCTTCATGTCACCAGCTAAGCAATTCTCCACATATCAAACCAAGCACATAAAGATACAGTCCTGACAGTCTCTTGCCAAGAGTGGCTATACAAACAAACAGTAAAACTTGAGGACTCTTGCAGATGAAAAAGAAGGAGAAAGTTGCATTACCTACCCCTCCCAAGAAAGTCTTTCCTAAATACATTTCTTCATCACCTGAGAAACACTTCACCTGAGAAACACTTCACTGGCTATATCTGTTTGGATAGATGGCAGATGAAAGAAAACACAAGTACTTAACTGGTGATTAGAGGGACATTAAGAGCCTGCCTGGGTCTCTAAAACACATGAGATAGCATCTCTAGAGTAATGAACGTGTTTGGGCTTGGAGATGGGAAGTTTAGGAATGAAGTCAGACCTGGGAGAAGAGTACCTAAGGGTCTGTTGTACCTAAGGGGCAGACACTTCTGCACGAGGAGGAGGGGCACAAAAAAGGAAGGTGACAACAGCGAGCTTTGCCTATTTCAACATTTAGCTCCAAACCTCCACGTACAAAGAAAGAGGAAGGAAATGTGCTGGGCTTCCTTCTCTGGTGCCCCTGCCTCAGTCCTGGACCACCTGAAACCAATCACTTAACATTAGGTTCTCCTACACTGGCCAACCAAGGTTTAAAAAAGGCAATGATGCCTTTCTATATGAAGATGCCAGTTTCAAACACTTCATAAACTTTCAAAATGAGCACTTAGGGCTACCTGCATCTTTAAAAGGATCTTGAACAGATTCTATCTGTACCTTCTGAAGAATTCATCCGTGGTCATTTCTCCCACCCAAGTACTAACCAGGCCTGACCCCACTTAGCTTCTGGAGCATTCAGGGTGGTATGGCCATAGATCTTTGCTATTTCTCTGTTCCACCTGTTAAGACACATTAACCATACCTGTGCAACAATGAACACAAGTTAATGTCAAAAGACACACAAATCAAGAAATCCAGTAGGTACCCTTCGAGTTAATTTTTTTATTTTAATGTGTGGCATGTGCAAGGCCCTGTAAATTGATACCGAGTAAGGGGGTGGAGGGGGTTTAAGAACTGAGACTTGATGGTTGAGTGGGGAACAAGCCAGCACTCTCCTTAGGAGACCATCGTCTTATAGTCAAACGGTCTCATGAGATGAGGCCAGCATCCTGATCTGCATCTCACTTTGCACAAGATCCATAAGCAACTGTCAGAGAATACAGCACAGTCACATAGTAAAATAATCTCCCAAAAGACTGAATTAGCCAGATAGGACAAGGAGGACCAGGACATCTGTGCATGTCATTATGCACCCTTGTAACAGAGTCAAGATACATGCAAACAACTTTCCTAAAAGGGATGTACCAGCCAAGTGAGTTTGGGGGAGGGGGGGAAAAATGCTGTTTACGGAGCACAGTGCCCTCAATCCTCCTCGGCAGCGGAAATAAAGGGATCCTCAAGCGTTTCTGTAGATCAGATGCTTGCTAACCTCAGTGTCCAATGTGTTACCATATACCATCGTGACAGAATTCTGCCTGCTACTTTGTTCTTCGGTGCTACAAGGGTCTTTAGTCATCTCTCCACCTTTCCAAACCCATCTAAACTGTAGCTGAGGAAAAAAGCTCAAAAGGAAGTCTGACAGCTTCCCTTGAACACCTGAACTGGAACAGGCCAGCTAGCCAAAATGCAAACAGACACCCTCAGCCTCAGTCCGTGTCCCTGCAGAACCAGGCAGCAGAAACCAAACACTAAAGGCAGAACGGCCTTTTCCCCTACCACCCAAAGGTAGCGCAGCATCCCCGTGCCGCCCCATCGCGCCCCGCCTCGCCAGGCAAAGCTCAGAAACGAAACACACTTGGGCTCGCTCGCCCGGTCGTAGCCACAGATCTATCTACACGCCCTCGTGCAAGGACTCGGGAGTGCACCCACGCCCCGCTGCCTCTCACAGCAGGTGAGCAACAGACTCCCACAGGAGCCGCAGGTCGTCCTTCCCTGCGCAACCCGGCCGCCTCGCTAGCACTCGGCCCTGCAGCAGGCCCTGCACACCAGGCTCGCCTCGCGCCCCTCGCACGGCAGCTGCGCAGAAGCATTCCGCAGCCTTAAAAGGCGGGACCCCGCTTCGGCAGCAGCGCACAAACCTGTCTCGAGCCCCAAATCCACGCGCCCCTCAGTCCGCACCCGCCGCCGCCAGCCTGCGCTCCGAGACCGGCACAAAGGCGGCACCGTAACCCAGGCCGCCGCGGGCCTTCCCGGTGAGGGACGTCAGCAATTTGAAACCCGCGCTCCGCTTCCGGCGTGAACCGGACCGCGCGACCCCAGCCCCGCGAGCCGCGGCCCCGGAGTCGCCTCAGGCTGGCGGGACCCACCAGCTCCCGGGGTAAGCCGCCTGCAACCCCGCGGAGGCCGGAGGCCTGAGTCTGCGGGCACTTACCTGGCCGTGCTCTGGCCGGAGTCAGAGCCGCTCTGGGACAGTAGCTGAGATGCAGCCCGCCGCAGTTCCGCGCGCGCCCGGCGGGGCGCGCGCCCCAAAGTCCCGCCCCAGAGAGGCTAGCCTGGACTCCCATTGGCTGATCGGCCGTTTGAATCATCATTGGCGTTGGTGATTGGTCGGGCCCTGTGGCGCGTAGGCCAGCCTGCTCCCTAGCGTCTTCAATCTCCCGCCCGCCTTATCTCGGTCTCGCAGGCGCCTTCTCAGGCCGCGCCTTGTCCTCCCCACAGAGTTCAGGGGTGGCGTCCTGGAGCCTGCCGGAGAAGGCAGTCTGGAGGGGGAACCCGAGAGCCCGCTCGTCCTGGAGCCGGACCGAGAAGACCGGCTGAGAGGGAACTTGGGAGCCCCGCGCTGAAGTGCCCGGCCCAGCTTGGCTGAGACCCGGCTCGGCTCAGGCTCGGACCCGGGCTTGTCCCCTAGAAACCGACCTCTGCCGAAGCCCGGAGCGGCGCGGGGCCTGCAGCCTCCTGCCCGCCCTCACTTGACCCCAGCATGACCCAGTGTCATTGATCCTAAACTTCCCCTCCGCAAGTTGTCATTATTGGTTAGTTTACTTTCAGTTCGAGAGTTAAAGTAGTCGGTTAAAAGTTCCCTACGTTCACAGTATGTGTTTTAAGCATTTCTTCACATCCCTTAATATTATACCTTAATGCATTTGAGTGAGTTTCTATTTCGGAATCACGGTCAGTTGTGATAGTATACTATATTGATCACGCCTTTTCATGCGGAGCCTAGATTCAGATGCAGGAGGCTCTCAAGGTGTCAGTTAAAACTGCAAAACAAGTGCATCGCAGCCTTTCCCTAGAACAAATGTGCACATCGCCTTTGAGTTTGCCCTGGGGGGGGGGGGTAAGATCTGAATCACGGAAATGTACATTGCACGCCAAAGTCAGAAAAACCAAAGGTGAATTGTAGCAAACCCCTTAAACCAAGTGGCCTCAACTCTTAACGGTGAGCCCTACTCAAGAGTGTTTTGCAGGAATGACAAAAATGAAAACATGAAGGGGGGAAGAGGGGGAGAGACAGACTCCCAATAGCCAGAAATGCTTGTTTTCTTACCCAGAACCAAGATTTTGTTATACTTCATCTCAGGTCCATGTTTCCTGCATTATTATCATTCCCACTTGCAAAATAGATTAGGGAAAAAATTCTGCTGTTAATATTGGTTTACAAAGTCATCAAAATAAAAGATTGTAAATAAGGCTGGGGGGTGATGCTTCAGTGGGTAAAGGGCCTGCCTTGCAAATGTGAGCTGAACTGGGATCCCCAGCTCTCAGATCTTTTTTAAAAAAAGCTGGTAATCTCAAGCAGCTGTAATGAGGAGGGGGGATCTGGAGATAAGGGGATCCTCTGAAGTCATTGGCCAGCCTGTGTAGCCAGTCTGAGATTTGCGTTCAGTGAGACACCCTACTTCAAGAACAAGGTGAAAGAAGAACCCACCATCAACTCTGACCTCCACACGCATATATACACACAAACCCTCATATATGTTCACACACTCAAAATGAGATTGTAAATGACTGAATTCAACATACCTTACAAATTATCAACTAAAGATTTTTTTTAAATCTTTTTTTTTTTGAGACAGGGTCTCCCTGTAGTCCCAGCTGACCTGAACTCACTATGTAGACCTGGCTGGCCTTGAACTCACAGAGATCCGCCTGCCTCTGCCTCTGGAGTGCTGGGACTAAAGGCGTGCGCCACCACACCCGGCTTCAACTAAGGATTTTTTATGTGTGCATATTCACATGTGCTAGTGTTTTTCAAATTCATCCCAGCTTCTTAATATTTAAGTTTTTTAATTTTATTCATCAGTGAGGGAAACTATTTGCATGAATCTGGATCTACAAGGTATTGTGAGAAGTAAATGTAGTTATTGGTATTGAGGGAAATGTGACTGGCAATAATAATTTAGTATAACTTAAGTCTTATTTCAAACTCATCAAGACTCCATTTGTGATCACTAATTGCACATAGATAAAACGGTTTTCAATAGCACCTATAACAAATTAATGGATTTATTGCTTTTAATCTAAGCATTTAAATCCTCTGATTCCTCCCATAAGTAGCTGTGTCCTCAGGTAATTTCATTGTTTTTAGCTAAGCCATATGAACCACCAAATTAATCTTTTCTTTTTAAGTGCTACAGGTAGAACCCAGTGTCAGACACATGCTAGGCAAGCGCTTTACCGCTGAGCTAGTTCACACTCTAGCCATCTTAAAGACCCTTGCACTGCTCGAGAAGCATTTACTGTGCAAATTTATTTTAAACATACTCTGGTTAATAAACTTGTTTAAATTAGCCTAGAATATGGTTGGATGTGTTAGGAATACTGAAATATTTCTCTCCAGGAAAAATATCCAAACTGAGGCAGGACACAGGAGAGGCATTCAGAAACTTGCCTCCCGGATCTTGAGCAGTCACTCCTGCTCCGTTCACCCCACTTTGCCCTATCAGGTCTGCAGAGTGTCTCCACAGACCTTCCTTCACCCTGAGTGGAATGCGCCCCTCCTTCCCAAAGTGCTGAATCCCAGCAAAACTGCACAGGGTACCTCCCTCACACAACACTGCCTTCTTGTGTCATGGGCAGCCTTGGGCCTCCATCATAGTAAGCGCAGTTTACGCCTCTGTGCCCCATTAAGTAAGTACATGAATGTACTCGCTAATTATGAAGCTGAAAAGCTCTGCCTCAGAACTGAGTTTCCAGCTGGCTGCATTAAGGCAAGAAACAGTGGAACTTTCCTGGCCTGAACTGTTCCCAGCCACGGGGTGGATGAGACTACCACAGATGTCTCTTTGGCTCCTGCAGCTGGCCCTGCCTGGTCCTCAGTGGGACACTGCCCTCTGCTGTGCTAAGTGGTCTGTCCACCCCACTTGGTCTTGCCCTCTGTACCATCATTTCTCTTAACCCAGACCATGTAATTAAGTTTCTTTTTAAATCTACTATGTATTTCATTTTTTAGTTGTTAGCCTTAGCCTTTAATGGCAGTACCATCTCTCCAACCCCCTACTATGTATTTCATGTGGCGTTCAGACCCTGAACCCACACCATCATTTCTCTTAACCCAGACCATGTAGTTAAGTTTCCTCTTTAAATCTACTATGTATTTCATTTTTTAGTTGTTAGCCTTAGCCTTTAAAGGCAGTACCGTCTCTCCAACCCCCTACTATGTATTTCATGTGGCGTTCAGACCCTGAACCCAAGTACCCGATTTGTTTTAGCAGGGTCATCGCACAATGAGTCCCTGAGGGCAGCTTCCATCTACCCATCTAGAGTCTGTGGTGGAGGCAGGCAGGTAGGGAATGAAACATACTTGTGTATGTAATAATCATTACATGTTGCAGTGCTGGAGGTGAGGGTGGAGCTCAGTGGTCCAGTGCTTAGAAAGCCCTGGGTCCTTCCCCAGCACCACTAAATAACTACGTGATAACTACCATATTTTGTACTCCTTTCTGGATGAAGATAAGGCTTAGCCCCTGTTACTGTTAAGCACTTAGGTGTGTCTCCCAGGATTTCTCCAACCTTATCTCTAACACACCGCCTTACCCTCTAGGGGAAATGTGAGCTATCACAACTGGTATCAGGGTGGAGAATGGGAAAGAAAGATGGGGAGACTAGAGAAATGGGGAGACTGGCGTCTAGTGAGGCCCTGCTGTGTGTCATTTGCATTCCCTACACTCAATGAAACAGGTATCATCCCCACTTTTAGCCTGAGGAAACAGATGAAGAGAAGTTAAACAAGATCACACTCAGCATAAAAACTGCAATAGAAACTTTAACACAGGATCCAAGGAAACTAAGGATCCCAGAGCATAAGCTCTCTCTACCCCAGGCTCATGTGCCTCGCAGTCAGTCACTTCCATTGCCTAGCACATGACCCCACTGCATGTCAGGCAGGCCTCCCAGATCAAAGTGCACCTTGTGGACATTTGTCTGCATTTGAGAGAGGACTCATCCCTGCTCTCCCTAAGCACACAGTACAAGTGAACTCACTCTGTCTCTCACCCCTAGATTCCTTCCTCCCTGACTCTAACCATAGGCTGGTCTCTTTAAACTCTTCCTATTCTGGATCCTGGAGAATAGCCTGTGTGTCTTCCTTTCCGGGGACTGTCACAGAATACGCATGGTAGCAAGTACAAGATCATGGTAATCTTTGTACTATTCTTAGTTCAGTACCCGATACAATTAAACTTTTTAAAACATATTTGAGAATGATAAAATATCTGAGATGAATATTTAAAGGCAGATTTCTGTTCTTCATTTTTCTTCATCTTGCTTGAGCAAGACAAAGTAAAGCCTATTTTTAGAAGCTGAGGTAGAATCCAGAATAGCCTGGACTAAAGAGTGAGAGCCTTTCGGGAAAACAAAAATAAAAAAACACTACTATATTAAGCAATTTAAAATTTTTTTAATTGTATTATTGTATATTTCTGTGTATGCTGAGAAGAGGGTGCCACGGCACAAATATGAAGGTCAGAAGATCACTTTGTGGAATCAGTTCTCTCCTTCCACCTTTTTGTGGGTTTAATATGGGGATTGAACTCAAGTTGTCAGGCTTGCTTGGTGAGTACTTTGCTTAATGAACCATCCTGCCGACTCTGAATTGTGTTATTTGTAACACACATAGGTGGTTTGGAAAGTGTCCCCCAAAGACCCATGTGTTAGAAGTTTGGTTCCCAGCATACAGTATTATTGGGAGATGGCAGAGCCTTTCAGAGGTGTAGCCTAGGAGGTTTTAAGTCATAGAGGTATGACCTTGAAGGGAAATGAGATAAGTAGCTTTTGCCCTACCATGCACTCCCCACCATGGTTTACTGCCTCGCTGCAGGCCCAAGAGCAAGGACACCAACTGACATAGACTAAAGCCAAAAAACAAACTTTTTTTTTTTTTTTTTTTTTAGGTAGCCCTGGCTGGCCTGGAACTCACTACCTAGGCCTCGAACAGATCCGCATGCCTCTGCCTCCCAAGTGCTGGAACTAAGAGTTAAGGTATGGGCCACCATACCAGACTAAATCATTC